CAGTTGATTAAGCGCTTTTCGGGTAATTACATATACCTCAGTTTGTATTGATCTCTCGAAGCATAACGATGGAGTGGGGCAAGGCAGAGAACCGTATTGCAGTGATAGCTTTACATAAGTGTAATCACAGTGCTAGTCAGATTTTTTAACTCTTACGCGGCCTTCAAATATCGCGTAAATTTGTGTCTAGGACCATTCAGCGGTACAATGAGACGTCCTCTGTTGATGACAGGCCAAGAAGCGGAAGACCTCGTCAAGTAAGGACTCCAGCAGCCATCAAAGCCGTAAAAGCCAGGATTCAAAGGAATCCACTCCGGAAGCAGAAGATCCTATCCAGGGAAATGAAGATTCCTGTCCGGACGATGTCGCGCATCATTAAACAAGACCTAGGGCTAGGGGCTTACCGGAGACGTACGGGCCAGCGACTTACGGCCACCTTGCGACACATCAGGGCGACAAGATCCAAGAAGCTCTTGGAGAGGTACGCAGCTGGGGGATTCCGAAAGATTTTGTTCACGGATGAGAAAATCTTCACCATAGAAGAAAAATTCAACCGACAAAATGACAAAGTGTATGCAAGGAGTTCACAGGAAGCTTCGGAGATCATTCCGAGAGTTGAGAGAGGCCACCACCCTGCGTCGGTCATGGTTTGGTGGGGGGTGTCCTACGAAGGGGTCACTCAGCTCCATTTCTGTAAACAGGGCGTGAAAACAAAAGCGGCAAACTATCAGAGCGACATACTGGATCCTATCGTCAAGCCTTTAAGTGGTACATTGTTTACCAACCAACACTGGGTCTACCAGCAGGATTCCGCCCCCGCTCACAAGGCTAAGAGTACGCAGCGCTGGCTGGAAAGCAATGTGCCAGAGTTCATTGCTGCGGAAGATTGGCCCTCAGGGAGTCCGGACCTCAATCCTTTAGACTACAAGTTGTGGGACCTGCTAGAGCAGTTGGCCTGCTCCAAAGCCCACCGTAATATCGAGTCCCTGAAAGCGGATTTGATCCGATCAGCGGCAGCTATTCCTTTGGAAGCTGTGCGTGCAGTGATAGATGAGTGGCCCGCGAGATTGAAGCAGTGTGTGAAGGCCAAGGGGGGACATTTTGAATAAAACTGTTTGATTATGAATTCTAAAAATGTTGTCGAATAAATAATATCTTTCATATAAATATATCTTATCTTGTTTCACTTTTATCATGAGATTATCATGGGACAGAACTTATGGCACGACTGTACATAAAGTTTTTTTTAGTTTTTTACTTAGGAAATGTCTACTGCTTGCTATAAATGATTTTGAGGGAACTAAATGCTTTATTTACAAGCGTTTGAATATGGAGTGAGAAACGAAGGCTTGGATCAACAGTTAAGCCTAAATTACGAGAAGAATCACAGAAAGAGAAAGAGTGTCCTTTAAAATGTTTATACTACTTTTATTGCCAAAAAGTATTACTTTTATCTTCTTAGAGTTGAGCTTTAGGCTGTGCTGCTCTGATAATGTGTTTATCGATTGAAGCTCTTCATTAAGAATTCGTTCTGCTGCAGCTCTGTCTTTCATGTTCATATTTAATCCACAGCGAGATCTTTTGTGGTTTGTACAGGCTCATGCACAAGCTTGCTTCTGCGGGTTTCCTATTTGTTTACCATTCTTGATCCGTACTCGTTTTCATATTCATGTTACCGGATTATCATTAGTTTTGGTATGTTCTAGCACTTACCATCTACATTCATGAATTAGCCCAAAATATAAACTGCATCCCGTTGTTTTTACTTCACACGGCGAGGAAGTATTGTAATCGCGAAAATTTTAGAAAATGAGATATTATGGTTCTTGGGTGTTATATGACATTGTACATCAAGAAAAAACATATAAGACTGATAACTCATTTCCGATTATAGTCATCAGTCATAAAGCTAGACTCATAATATAGGTTCTTTTATGCTTATGCTGTTTGAAAGTTACAACCATTTCTGAAAGATCACTTGTCTCATATATCTTTTTGTGTTTTGTAACCTTTCATCTAACTGCTGACTTGTCATTTGCTTTCTCACTTATTCTATTATATACCTACATGGACTTCTCAATCTCACACAAACAGACTTTACATTTATCGCCAAGCGTTTGAACATTGATTTTCATGTAAATTTGGAAACACACACGATGTCTCTAGGGATAGGTTGACTATTCAAAAAGTAAGGATTGCACTCTGCTAGACTTTCATTGTTTCCGGAACGAAAATTTTCTAAGGATGCAGTACAAAGTTAATAATGAAAAACGATTATGGGAATTGTGTACCAAGTTCTATTATATATTATGTTATCTGATATTGGATAATATGTCCTTTTGAATAGAGAAAAATTGATTAGGTATGTTCTAGCACTTTGCATCTAGATTCACGTATTAGCCCCAAATATAATCTGCTCTGCCAAATAGGTATAACTTTTTTGAATGAAGAAATGGCAGATCATGCTTTATAATATCTTGTATAACAGTTTACCTTGGAGTGTACAAAGTGCAAATGAATAAATGTAAAAATATGCATATATTGTGTATACGCCTCAGTGTTTCCCACATTATTTTTTCCACTTACCTACTGTGTTATGAGAAACTTAATTTTTTTCTTCTACATCCATTAACTGCGCATAATGACAAAACAAATGGCAATGATGCATCTATTATATGGCTTAATAGCTTCTCATACCATGAATAACGTATAACACGAGTTCAAAAATCACATCAATAGTATTATGACCGAATGAGTTACACCTTGGTGATATCTGTTTTGCTCAAGCGATCCAATAGACCTTTCGTGTCAGAGCGTTAGATCAAACTCTGTGAGACCTGGTAACTAAGGGTCTAGATATTGTTGAAAGAAGAAGGGAAGAGAAAGAGATATGAGTGGATTTAAATTTTTCAATTATTTGTTGCAGGTGCCTCGAAAAAAAGAGACGTGGTGCAGGTGACACAAGTTCTTACAGCCAATAAGTTATCGTCGCCGAGATCTCAAGCCCAGACTGCCGCAGAAAGTGAGTATCCATATTAATCTGTTTCTTGCAATAATTAGAGGTCCAGCATGGTACATATATATATAAAGAGAAAATTATCATGCGGAGAAAGGTATATAACAAAAATAGGAAAATAGTGAGCAAAATCCGCAAAAAGTGGATTCGAGCAGAAAATAGGATAGGTAACCCGAGCGATACGTATTTCTGCTGGTTGGCTTCATCACGCCCGAAATGAATGCACATATGCAACTACAAAAGTAGATACACATGTCCACACATCCGGATACGGGTGTAACCTGAGGAAACGAAGATGGAGAGGAAAAAAAGACACACGAAGTCCACAACAAGAGCCAACCTACACATTGTATCCGGATGTGTGGGCATGTGTATCTACTTTTGTAGTTGCATATGTGCATTCATTTCGGGCCTGATGAAGCCAACCAGCAGAAATACGTATCGCTCGGGTTACCTATCCTATTTTTTGCTCGAATCCACTTTTTGCGGATTTTGCCCACTATTTTCCTATTTTTGTTATATATATACACCCATGAATTCTTCAACCAATAAGAATAACAGCACTACAGTGGTTGCTTCTATTCCCAGAGTTAATTATGTTATCTTGCCATACATCAAAGAACTAACACCAAAATTGATCAGGCTGTATAATTCCTTTAATTGTCGTTTTGCTTGTAAATCAGTGCTCACAGTCAACAGTTTGTTGTCCAAAATGAAGGATAAGGTTCAGTTGGCAGGATAACTTCACACAAAAGTGACGCCAGATTACATCCAGAGAGATGTGCTTTGGCATCTCATATTAACAACACAGGTCACTCTATGAATTATGGCAGTATTGAGGTTCTAGATAAAGAAAAATGACTCTTAAAACATTTATTTTTAGAAATATCCCACATTTTCAGGACAGATCATAGCATGAATAAAAAGGCTGATGTAAAGCAGCTCAGTGTCATTTATTCCTGCCTGTTGAATTGCGAAAAGCTAGAACGGCTACATATCCAAATCGAACCAACATCGTCACAAAATTAGAATACATTTTCTCACTCACAATCTTTAATGTAAACTCACATAATCCATCTTTTCAAGGTTATATCACTATCTCACATTCGTACACATATGAACTACACATTTTTCCGAAACAAATAATTCAGCATTTTAGAATTTGGGTGGAGGTTTACCGAGCGTCCCTCGTATACTTCATACCCGAATGGGACAATGAGGTTTACAGTTCCACGGTCCGTCGCGTCAATCACTTGTCATCTGTCGACGCATTATCTTTCCGTGCCGTCCCCCTCTCCACGTGTAGCGGAAGTAGAAGGTTAGAGACTGCATTCCGATTGTTTCACCAAAATGTCTTCTCATGTGTAATACTTTTTAATTTGTTCGGGTGTATTGATATTCTTAACATGTAACGAAGGTATCTGTCGTTATCAACAAGCCCAATGTCTGCGCCTTTTTGTTTTTATACTTATTACGAGTTCTATCTTCTCTACGTTCGTTTTGAAACACCTTAAGGCTGCAACCTCAACGACGAGTAAATTGTTTGACAATTTAAATCTGTCCTGTTTTCTTTGCTAGCATCACAATTGTATTTTCAGAATCCTGATGAAGGCTCCATAGAGAATGCCGAAAGCTTGATTTTATCGTCAAAAGAGTCAACTTAAGCCAAAAAATTTGCCAATTTCCCAATTAACAATTAATTGTATTTTGTGCCCAACTGGTCGTTGGCTTTGGCAATGACTACTGCTCACATATATATATATTATCTAAAACCTTATATACCAGTAGGTGTAAGGTGCAATTACATTATTACATTCTCTAAACTACGAGTAGTTAGTTATTATAAACAAATTTAGCCCAGTCTTCCTTATTTCTCGCTTCGTTCCAACTTATTGCCCTGTTCTTGAGTTCTTTTGAACTTTCGCTTCCCATATGAGTTTTACTGGCCTTGTATCCTTCATTCTTACTAAATGCCCAAACCATTTTAATTGGTTTTCTTCAATCCTTTGTAGTACAGATTCCACTCCCAGCTCTTCTCTAATAACTTCGTTTCTAATTTTGTCTTTCCTAGTGGCTCCTTTGGCTGCCCTTTCATATCAATAGCCTGTAACTTGCTTTTTTGCCTGTTCGTTAATACCCAGCTCTCACTTCCAAATATCAATATGGGTCTGAATACTGTTCTGTACATGGTCATCTTTGTTTTTCTGCTTATCATTTTCATCCTTAAGAAAGACGTTTTCATTGTGTGATAGAGCGTTTATTAATCTTTCGTTGATTTCCCCTTCCATTGTTCCATCGCCTTGTACTGCCACTCCTAGATGTTTGAAAGCTTCGACTTGTTCTATATGTGCGGCTTTAGTAACTATATGCATTTCATTCTCCTCTGCTGTCGTCATCACTTTTGTTGTAGATACGTTTATATTCAAACCTCTCTTCGATAATTCCTGAATCCAGATTTTAAGGTTATCTTATAAGTCTTTTGGGGTATTAGCGCACAATAACAGGTCGTCCGCGAATGCGCACTCTGAAATATTTATTGGTCTCATTTTGTAGAAACCGACATGTACCTTTTTAATTTTGCTTTTGACGGTCTTTATTACATCATCCATAATCATAATGAATAATATCGGGCTCAGGACTCCTCCCTGTCTCAGCCCATCTCCTATGATAGATTCCTCTGACGTCATGTTATCCTTTCTAACATAGCTTATATTTTGGTCGTATATGCTTTGTATACACTCTGTTAGGTACTCCACGTTTTACCATGCTGTCTCACACAATTCTCCTTGGAATATTGTCGAACGCTTTTTCCAGGTCTAAGAAAGCTAGGCTTATTTCCGTGTTCGTTGTATTACATTTTTGGATTAGCTGTTGTATTTTAAAGATATGGTCCTGTATGCTATGTCCTTGTCTGAACCCACCATGCGCCTCATCTAGATCGTTTTCGATGTGTTCTCTCAGCCTTTTCTCCAATACTCTCTCATAAACTTTCAAAGGTGTACTTAACAGCGTGATTCTTCTATAGTTGCTGCAGTCCAGGGTGTCTCCTTTTGTGTGGATGAGATGATTATTCCTATTTTCCAATCATCGGGAATTTGTGTTTCTAACATCGCCTTGTTCAATAATTCGGTAGACAGCTCCAAGCATTCTCCGCTCATCTTCTTCAACATTTCAGAGGTAATACCATCGTATCCCGCAGATTTCCCCCGTTTCAGCGCATTGATGATTTCCGCAACTTCAAAGTGTTGTCTCCACCTTGATGCATATGTAAGTTAAATTACTGCCACCGAAATACTTGTTTTTAAAAAAAAACTTTATTTTGGTTAACGATACAAAAGGACTTTTGTGAAACCTTGTCACGACGATGCGTAAAACAGGACGGTTAGACAAGAAGTGACAAGATTTCCTCACACATGGATTTGGTATAATGCAGTAGAAATATAATATGCTGATACAGAGGATGTTAACATGTGAACCTCAAGGCGCGAGATAAGATTCCATAGCGTAGCGACAATGCTAGCAAGAAATACAAGTACCAGGTAATAATTATAATATTATATAAAATACAGGGTGATGATGGATATACTCGTAACTTGTATATCACGCCTTATTTTGTAAAAGCAAGAGCTTACCTCAAGCTTCTGTGTACTCCAAGTACAAGTTTAGAGAAGTGTCCATTCCAAGTTTAAACTTTTGGCGTTTTGGCAGTCAAGTATTAAGTGCTCTGGCTAATGTTGTCAAATAAAGGGAATTCAACTAAACATATTGCTTTCGTCGGTTCTCGAATTACCACGTAGTATTACCGACAAGTGCCAAAACCTGCATTTTGGCTCGCTATTTGTCATAACTTTTTTGTTTTTAATCGGACCTTTTATGTGTGGTCTCATTTAGTAGCTCCCTTAAATATCTAAACATCTTGAATGATTTTTGTCATGTCAACACTTCCGATTGAATCTCAAAAAACGTTTTTTCTCATACTTTCTTGTTAAATCAAAAGTTTCCCTAAAAAAATGGTGTACTCGTTTTATGTGCCCATGTTTTAAATAACCCCATGATCAACATTCATCGATAAAAGCAAACATTACAATGTACCATCTAATATTATTAGACCTGCTGGTCGGAGTCCAGATCACCAAGGACTACATCTGGTACGAACAGCTCGTTAATAGCGGCAGCTGCTGGGAAAAAGTTAGGCCACATAACCCTTTCACTCTGTACAGGGCCAGATAAGACCTAGTCTCGGGTACAGCCCACATGTTTGGGGTGCTGCCGCTCCAACTATTTTGTCTCACACCGACGGCGACCTAGCTGTCTTCTACCGCTGTGTCGACGGGCTTTGCTCCTCAGAGGTCATCGCCTCCATGAATCTATCCTCTCATCTGCGCCTGAATCAGAAACATGTTGACATGCAGAATCATAACGTCATCCTTAGAGGGGAAGACACTCAGACTGAGCTGCCAGGGGAGAGGTGTTATCTCCCCTTTTGTTGTCGCTCCTAGTAGATAATCTGATTGCCATTAATCGCCTACGGGAGGCCGAGCTTCAAGCATATGCAGACGATCTAGTCGTCCTAGTCAGAGGGAAATCTGTGGAACATATCTCGGGAACACTCCAGGAGGTACAATAGCGGATCAATCAACCCGCACAAAAATGGTCATCGTACTTTACACCAGAAAGAGGAAACTGGATGGGATTAAACCTCCAACAATCCAAGGTGAAAATGTACCGTTTCCAGGAGAGGCGACATATCTAGGAATAATCTTAGATAAAACACCAGACTGGAATTAGGATCTGGAAGCAGTCCTTAAGAAGGCAAGGATCTCGCTATGGAACTGCCGAAGGGGTCTGTATGATAACCTAAGGATCTGTAGCTTGGTGGGGCAAGGCAGCACAAAGAACTGTCCAAGCCAAACTGAGCGCAATACAGAGAGAAGCTTGTATGTTGATCACTGGCACCTTTCTTACCACAACAACAGCAGCTATGGAGGTCCTTCTTGCACATATTCCTGGAAGACGAGGCAAGAAGGACATCTTATAGACTACATCATGTGGCAAATGGTATAATGGACAATATCACAACAAGTTATGCTAAACCCTACTCAGTGACAATTGCACACAGGAATGAGTGGGAACAGTAAGTTATCCTAATAAGGAAATATATATGTGCATACACAGATGGCTCCAAGACCGAGATAGGTGTTGGAGCTGGTATCTTAAAAGATCTGTTAGCCTAAGAACCTGGGCATCGATCTTCCAGGCAGAGCTATATGCTATAGAACTGTGTACCAGAATGATCGCAGAACAACCGAGGCATAGAACTATAATTACTTTTCCAGATAGTCAAGCCGCACTTACAGCACACTTACTCGACATCGACATTAGTGTGTAATTGAAAAGAAGCTCTCGGGAGGAAAATGAAGTCCGTCTCTTATGGATAGCAGGACACACAGGTCTAGAGGAAAACGAGACAGCTGACACATTGGCAAAGAGTGGGGCTAGCACATCCTTCATAGGGCCTGAGCGATTGGGATCGCATACAATACAGAATACTGGAAGGGATTAGCATGGTTGACCCATGCTAAGGCAACTACTCGTATATCTATCTTGACAAAGAAGGTAACAGACTCTTTGCTACGACTGAACAGGAACAGCCTTGAAGCTCGAGTAGGACTGTACACTGGTCATTACAAATTGCGTCACCACATGAGCAGGCTGGGCATGGCGGAAGACGCTGAATGCAGACTGTGCATGGAGGGAGATGAAACGGTCAGGCATGTATTGTGCAGATCCCCTGCAATTGCCAGAATCAGGTGCAACATACTAGTACTTGAGGACGTAGTACTTCAAGCAGAAGACCTGAGGGATATTTCTCCAAACAAGTTAATCAACTTCCTCAGGAGGTCGGATCTACTGCGGGAAATATAAATAGGTGTGAGCCACAAAGAGTTGCAGTGGAGGATCGTTATTGATGCACTCACAATAAACCTAACCTAACCTAACCAAGATGCCGCCGCGCGATGTGCCTGCCAGTCAGACCCGTCTGTTTTCGATCTCCAATCTATGGTATCGAGAATCTACCGGGGAAGGTTTTTTCCAGTTATACTATCCTTAGACGATTCAAAAATCGGATCAACAAAGTTTCTTCAAGCTCCTCCTAGCAGCCGTAGTGCCCTACGATTTAGGCAGACATAGACATGTGCTCCATGTGCTATTACTGCAAAAAACAGTAGATCATGTCCGCTGGATCTTGTACCGTTTTCGAGTGGAACTGCTCGTTAGTCTGCCCTCGGAAGAACAAGTTCCTCGATTCCCGTCGTTATCTTCATGAAGACAGCCGTACGTAAGGCACGACGATGCTGCGCTGCGCGCCGACACAGGTGGAACTCACCTGCAGTACCGGTAGCACGACCAGTGCTTCCACCAAGCAACCGAGCAGGTTGTGCATGTCGCATGCGGTTATCCGCAATGACAGCACGCTGGCGGCAAGAAGAGGCAGTGACGGACTCAGGGCATTACAGATTGGTGGACGTAAAGGTGACACTCATGTCAGCGTTAGCTGCCAGAGCGGTGCGTTGGACCTTAGCTCTTGTTTCACAGTGTCAGTTTGTAAGTATGTCAGGTCTGGTAACCCAGAAACCAGACAGTTTTAAGGAAAAAAAGGAAGGAAAGGAGAGAAGGAAGGAACAGAGCAAACAGGAAAAAAATAATCTTTTAAGGCAGGGAGCATTTAGGCATTACATTCACTTGACAGATTTTGATATTATCTAAAAATATTTGATTTTTGTGAGGATTTTGTCAAAATGCTCCGATTTTGGCTGTTCTAAATTCACGAATTAATTTTGATTACAGTGCGAGCCGCGGCTTGTGCTTGCGAACTTGGCCGACGGTGTAGTCCACTGACTCGCGCAACAGAGTGTTTCTGTGCGATTCCGCTTAGCTAAAGGTGACAATTCCAGGCTCATAGGTACGAGTATTTTCGCAAATGGAGATACTATCAGTCCTCGCGGACGGTAGAAGAAAAGCACAATTTCTAATCTTTTAAGAACCCGAAAAAAGATGTCCGTCGCATAAGCGGTCCATCGTTACGCAGGAGGGTACTGATACCAGCATTGACGTACTAATAAAAATGTTGCATGGACTAAATACAGGCTGAGTAGAATCTTCTTGCTTTCCGTGACTAGACCTATACCGTAC